GAATAATCAAAGGGAAGATAATATTACTAGTAAAATATAGAGAAGCATACAGGGAAATGCAAGATAATATAGAGGATGAGGACACACTTCAAGCAATACATGATACAGAATTAGAAATTAAGAGTATATGAACAAAAATCCAAGGGGGCAATAATTAGGGCTAGAGTTAAATTGGGCGGAAAAAGGGGAAAATCGAATAAATATTTTTTGAATTTAGAGAAGTCTAAAGGTAAAGCAAAAAAATGTCAATCTTTGAGGAAATCTGACAACTCTTTAGTTTATACATGTAAAGAAATTCAGAAAGAACAGGTCCAATTTATAAAAATCTGTATCAAAGTGATGAAAATTTGGACGTTAATATCAAAATTATTTATTAAATAATTATCAGCAAAAAAGTGTCAGATGAGCAAAAACAAGAAATGGATAACGAATTAACAGAAGAGGAATTGGAATTAAATGCTTTCAAACAAATGAAGTTAAATAAATCCCCCGGCCTAGATGGTTTAACAAAAGAGTTTTATGTCAAATTTTGGAAACAATTGCGCCCAATTCTCTTACTAATCTATAATAGTTATCATAAACAATCATGTCTGTCTCAGAACACAAGTCTTGGTGTAATAACTTTACTTTATAAAAAAGGAGATAAAAATGATATAAAAAATTGAGACCTATTACTCTACTTAATTTGAATATAAATTAATCGCAAAAGTTTTAGCTTTGAGAATGAAAGCAGTACTGCCTGATATAATAAATCATGACCAAACAGGATTTATTGAAGGAAGAACGATTCATGAAAATTTATTAACAATAAGAGATGACATTTTTTGGGCGAATAAACAAAACCAACCGTTATAATTTTTAGTAAGACCAAGAAAAGGCTTACGATACTGTTGATAGAGTTTTGTTACTAAGAATATAAAAAAGTTAATTTTGCGTAATTATTTCATTCGATGGGTCAATACCCTATTTAACAACACCAATGCAAAAATAATAACAAATGGATTTTTATCAAGCAATTTAGTATAACACGAGGAGTTAGACAAGTTGCCCCTTGCTTCCACTTTTATATATTATAATGTCCGAATTGTTAGCATCCAGCATCAAATACAATAGAAGCAATAATAGGTTTCAAAATTGTGCAGGAGATAGGGAGAAATATAAAGGTTTTTGCGGATGACCCTATTGTCAAAGTAGAAAGTTTAATCCTCCATAGATGAATATTAAAATTAATGGCAGAATTTGAAAAACTACAGGCTTGAGAATAAATATTCCAAAATGCAACATATTGTTGTGTGGTCAGCAAAACGGCTAAACTTAGGACATTCAATAAGGGTATTCAAATTCAGAAGAGCTTAAAATTCTAGGAGCTTATATAGGAAACAATGTTGTATCAAGAGATAAAAACTGGTTGAAAATCATTAACTCAATTCAAAATGTAGTAAATTATGCAGGGACGGAAGTTTATCAATGATAGGAAAATTATTATTGTCAAATCATTAATGTTATCCAAAGTGTGGCACATAGCCATTTTGAAAATTATGCCAGGAAACTTCGTTCGAAAATTAGAATCTATAATATGGAAATTCATTTGGAATAATAAAACTCAACTAGTGTCAAAGACAAATTACAATCTAATATTTTCACATCCGGAGGTTTGAATATGTTAGACCTCAGGAGCCAAATAAAAGCTCTTCAGGTCAAATGGATTTTTAAAAATCCTCAAAAACGAGAGTAGGCCATGGAGTAAAAGAGCCAATTATTTTATTAATAATTATTGTAATATTTTTGTCCAAAGATAATTTGGAATGTCTGTTATTTGAAAGTCCAATTTGACAAAGTAACTACCATACCTAATTTTTTTACCGACATTATCAATTCATTCAAGGATATTAAGTTGGAGAGAAAATCATCCCTTTAATATTACAGAGGTTAAAAATGAAATTTTATGGTACAATCCCTTAATCCTCAGAGCAAAATTTAGATTTTCGTCCAAATGGATACAAGCAAAAGTCATTTCTGTGGCTGATATTGTGGATAACACTGTGCATTATTTAACAAATAGAATATATTCTATGATCAAATGGGGATCACAGAAGAAAGCTCTTTATTTAATAGATGCTCTAGTGAAATCCAACAGGTTTGGGGCAATCTACCTATTAGCTGGAAAGAAATCTATCGAGAAATCATAATTTACCCGAAAACAGACTTGGAATCGATAGATATATGAACTCCAATTTATCCACCAAAAAAATAAGTAGTTTATTGAAAATAAGGAAAAATCACAGAAATTGCTACACGCATGATATGTACATTACACAAAAATTAAATTTGAAATTCCTATAGACTGGTCAAATATTGGCAATATAAACTCTCAAATAATTAAAATTCTAAGTTGGAAAATTTTACATAATGGTTTACCTACGGGGACAAATTAAAATATTGGTTTGATGATGAAGAATGGACAATGTGTATTTTGTAATGAAAATGAAGAAACCTGTATACATTTATTTGTTATTGTGATTGGATAATTGACTTTTGGCAGTGGTGCAATGTAAGGGAAATCAATTGTGACATAATTATTGCTAATAATATCATAGTGAAGTGTATCATTAATCATTCAATGTGGAAAATCAGCATATGGGAGTTCAGGAATAGTGTCAAATATGATGATTATTCCAAATGCAATGTAACTTGCGAGCTATTTTTAAATGCAAACTCCTGGGTGTAATCAGATTAATGTCAGATTTGATAGGCAAAGAATATTATCTGACGAAATCGTTGATGATGTATACAAAAATCGATTAATGAGTTGAAGAAATTGAGATTGTCTTGATTTTAGGAGGTTTGACTATATAAATGATTGCATAACATAGACAGATTAAATGAAAATCTAGGAGCATGATAGGTTTTTGAATTTTCTGTCTAATTTTTTTGAAACCTTCTCTTTTTCCATGCTAATATAAAATAATTAATTATATATGTACATAAAAATGCTATATTTATGACGAAATATGGACAATCTTCAATACAAACGGATATATGACGAAAAAATGGATTATCATCACTGGGTTTGATATGTATTAATAATTGTTTTATCCAACTGTTTTAATTTTCCTCAATTACCGTAATTGGAACGCAATACATGCAATTGGTTTCAAAAAAACAAAAAACAAATAAAATTATATAAAACAAAAACTGAAAATTTAATTGGCTTCAAAAACATAATTAAATAATTCCATATTGACTCTGGAATTGAATTTGGCAAAAAAAAAAAAAAAAAAAAAAAAAAAAAATCAGCAAGGTCAGTTAGGTTGCTCCAGTATTTTGGATTTAGGAAATTCGTACATGAAGGCAGATCACAGCTCTCTCAAATACCCCATAAAATGTTTCTTGATATAACAGGCAATATTCCACTCACAAATTCATTGTATTGTGGCGAATCGGTCTTGGATAGCCTATATATTCTTCAGATCCCATGCTTGTCACCAGGTCTATTCATATGTAGTGCTTTATAGCAAATTAAATGACCAATACAAGTTTGTTTATTTTTTTGCCAGATATAGTTTTCCGCGTAGGAGTAATTAAAAAAATCCTCAACAGTTTTAGCGAATCATTTCGACTGTTCTTCGCAAACCTGCAAAGGTCACTTGGGTTGCTCCAGTGTTTTGGATTGAGGAAATTTGTATATGAAGGCAGATCTCAGTTCCCACAAATAGCCAATACACTAAACAGACGTGAAGGTAGTCTGTGTCATAGTTACCAGTACTGGTAACGACGTAATGTGCGATGTGATTAACTACGCTAAAATTACTGAATTAGATATCAGTGGTCCACCTGTGAGCGGCGAGGGGTTAGATAATTTTTTAATAAAATTGATAGTTTATAAATTTTGTAAGTGAAAAAATTTTCAATAGTAAAGCACGATATACTAATATAGGGAGAATTTTTTAAGGTATATCACCAATTAAGTAGAAACAGTAGGTATATTACATACGGACAGACTGAGGCGGCACCTTGTATTGTATATATTGAATGGTAAAAATGATGCTCTCCGCTTGATATTTTATTTTACTTTCTACAGTCTATAGGAACTTTACTTTCTATTTGTGTGCCTCACCGAATTAAACTGATGGCTCTACATCATCATCGGTACGTTGCCAAGCGCTCAAAATCTGACAAATCATGGGGCTTTTGTACTTAGTAAAATTGTTGGCTTTTTTAGGTCTTGATTTGGCTTTTTTTGATCGCTGGGGTCTGGCAACCCGGCTGGGAATAATTAACCGGACGAACACTGAATTATCAACATCGGATTTTCATATGTATAATGGATTGTTTATGCAACTGTTTTTATTTTTCTACAAATAATTGGAACTCAATACATGCAATTAAAACATTGACACTTTAATTGGCTTAAAAATATGAGTAAATAATTCCATAAAAAAAATGGTTAACCGATTTCAGATGGTTAACGGTTACGTTTATTTTAATCGTTAACTGACATCTCAGGAACAAATCATTTTTATACCATACAATTTCTTTAAATATGATGTCATATGTCATCGGAAATTTATCTCTTGTGGCATTTAATTCAAAAGAATATTACTAACTGTGTGGGTAGGGACTCAATAAAAGTGAAAAATGATGAGAGTACCAAGGTTGCTGATTATGGAAATTTGACAATGTTGAATTTAGAAGCAGTTTCCTGTCCATTTCGAAATATATTGTTCACGATTTCATTGCAAAATAGGATATTCAATGTCATACAACAAGTGCGCAGTTGATGCCTTTTTTCTTTATGATATATTTCGCGAAGTCGAATTTGCACATCGAACACCGATAATTTGTAACATAAATGACGTTTAACAACGGAATTAGGTTTTCTAAAATACTTCCACACGCCCGAAACACTCTCCCATCTCTTGCAGCAGAGCAATCGTGAAACTATCTCGATTTGTGAATAATTTTGAGCGATACCGATAAGAACACGCAAAATTGCTTTATAAGCATTGTGACGTAACACGCAGAAATTATAAACCATTACGTCAAACGTCACGCGGCGGTCAACCGGTTAATTTTACCCGGTTAACGGTTAAAGTGTTTTCCCTGAAATTTCCAGCCCTAGCGGTTAGACATTTGATTTCTCTTCGCATAGGTGAGTCAAGTTGCTTTTTCTTCAATTAATTAGAACTCAATACATGCAATTGTATTCCAAAAAAATATTGTATAAATCAAAAACTAACACTTTAATTACCCTAAAAAATATGATTCCATATTGGCTCTGGAATTTAATTTGGCAAAAAAAAGTCTTAGAATCAGGAAATTCGAATATAAAAGCAGCTCTCCAAATACTCGATCGATTTACATTAATATACGATGTCAGGAAAGATGAGGACAGTGTGAAGCATGGGGTGAAGCCTAACCTATGTCAGTGACCTATAACATGATTAGTTAATTTCTTATAGTTACCGTATTTTCTCGACTATACGCCTATCACGCGAATAAGCCGACTCCCTAATATCAGCCTCAAAATAGTGAATTTTTAAAAATTCGCATAACACGGCGCATGCATCTATTACAGTCAATGATGTTCAATACAAATTTAATATTTAAATATCGCGATTTGCTACCTTCTTGTATATGGCACACACATTCTAGCGCCGCTGTCCACATTTTGATTAAAACAATTTTCGATTAATATATTTTCTGTTTTATCGTAATGGAAGACAGCACTTTGCGGCACAACTGAATTACTGCCGACATGAAAGGACTTAAATCAGCGCCGACTTGAAGTACCAAACGTATAACATGAGGACATTTTTGATTGAAAATATTTTACAATCATGATTTTATATTAACGTAGTCGATTATTTTTCGCAAGTCTTCTCAAACATGATTTGTGTAAGCTTCATATATGGGCTGATATATTTTATAATGTATGCCAAAGTGTCTGCCGATTATTTAATTGACTTTGTATACCAGCTGTTATTTGTCTTAATCCTTTTAAAAACAAAAACGTGGCCGGTGCAATGAAGCACTTCCTGCCCGATAACGGCACTTCAGAAAGAAATCCACTTTAGAAAGAAATCGGCTACCTTGAAATAAAGTGATTGATTTATGACCCTTCCGTTTTGCTGATTCAGAAAAAAACGGGAAAACACAGCTGTTGCCTAACCCATGGACGTACAGCACAGTATTTATCACACCATATTCATATGTTATTTCAATCTTTCAGTTACCGTAAATGGTTGTTCAAAATGATGGGAATTACAGTTTTATTGTTAAGAATTATTATTGTGTCATTACTTCAACAGCGTGAGCGATGTCATGCATGATGTGCCGGTAAATATTTCAATTACAACGGAGAGAGATAGATAAGAGTGCTCAATTACAACTGGGTGAGATAAGAGTGCTTATGAGCGCAACTAAAAAGGATAACATATTGTAAATGTGATTAAAATTCGGGCGTAGTTGCTAACGACGATTGCGCACAAATGATAACGTTTTGACCACAAGACGGCTGGCCATAGATCAATGCTGTTGCTCTTATGCAAAAGATACAATAAAAGTTAATCAAATACAAGCCATCACGTTTATGATCAGACAATCACACCTGGACAAGCGATCGCGTGAGTGCGTGCATGCTTTTTATCGCGAGAACTTGGCATGGTTTGAAGCTTTTTGAATTACCGGCAAGTCAGCATAATATCTTCTCGTTGCGTGATCAAATTCTGATATGTGAATGAGCCGATTTTTTGGTGCAATCTGAGTCATGCGCCAATAAGAGGTCCCTTAGTTTTGCAACTTTTTTTTTGAGTTCTAAACTCGGCCTATTCGCGATCATATACGGTATATATATTCTATCTCACAAGCTGAGATTTCATTCATGATACATTTATTATTGATTTATCTTTCTTTCTTAATTTTGGATTTTGAAAAGCGTGAATGTGAACTATTTGTATTGCATTTTAGGCAATAGTCATTTATTTCAGAAGATAAAAAATACATGATTTTTTAGATATTCTTAACTATAGAGAATTCTATCAAAATCATGGAATCCACTGAAAACATATTTCCCTGCCTTATCTGTGATGAAAACTTTTCATCAGGGCCCAGTTTAAAAAAGCATATGTTTTTGCACATTAACTATGGAACTGGCGATTTAGGGGAATACGCAACTAACAACATTGCGGGAACTAGTCTGCCTGTCAACCCTGAGAAGCCTCACGGAAAGGATATCATCAGTGGCTGCAGCAGAGATAAACCATTTGATTGCCAACAATGTGGAAAGAACTTCAAATTAAAGTGGCATTTAAATGAGCATATGAGAACTCATACTGGTGAAAAACCTTATATATGTAAACAATGTGGTAAGGGTTTTTCACAACACTGTAATTTAAAAGTGCATATGCGAACTCATACTGGAGAAAAACCATATATTTGTAAACAATGTGGAAAGTGTTTTTCGCGAGTAGCCCATTTACATGTGCATGAGCGAACTCATACTGGGGAGAAACCCTATGTTTGTAAACAATGTGGCAAGGGTTCTCATTTACGAGTGCATGAGCAAACTCATACTGGGAAGAAACCCCATGTTTGTAAACAATGTGGTAAGGGTTTTTCACAACACTGTAATTTAAAAGTGCATATGCGAACTCATACTGGAGAAAAACCATATATTTGTAAACAATGTGGAAAGTGTTTTTCGCGAGTAGCGCATTTACATGTGCATGAGCGAACTCATACTGGGGAGAAACCTTATGTTTGTAAACAATGTGGTAAAGGTTTTGTGAGGTCATCTAGTTTACATGTGCATGAGCGAACTCATACTGGGGAGAAACCTTATGTTTGTAAACAATGTGGTAAGGGTTATTTGCAATCATCTCGTTTACGAGTGCATGAGCAAACTCATACTGGAAGGAAACCTTGGACAATATCGCGAAAGTGGATGTGATGAGGAAGGGGATATATATTAAATGTCAAGATTCACAAATAGGGGTTCGCGGCCTCATACTGGGGAGAAACCTTATATTTGTCGTAAATGTGAAAAACCCTTTTCATGACGGCATGAACGAACTCATATTGGAGTAAAATCTTTATGCCTATACACAATGTGGAAGGAGTTTTCCAGTTTTATCAAATTTACGTGTACATGAGCAAACTCATACTGGAGAGAAAGAAATCTTCTGCATAATTTATGTCTTCAGGCTTAAAAAAATCCATGCCCTCATGATCTGGTCAAAAAATTTATTGGAGGTTTTCAAAAGTGAGGTTCTTAAAACTGTTGAGAGTTGAAAATTGCACCGAGTTGTTTACTTAATTCTAATGTATTCTATTTCAATAAGGCATCCAAAGCTCGTAGGTGCTTATTATTTGATGATGGTATTGTTACTATACAACAGCCATCAAAATGCAAGAGTGCAATTATTTGTCATAGTAATAGACTGATAATACAAAGTATTGCCATTATAAGGAATTACAAATACCATTGAAAGGTATTGCCATCATATCATAAGGATCCCCGACATACGTTCTCAGCCCTGCACCATGTTTCTAGGATTACTGACTCAATATGTGTTTCGCCATATGATTGTGCTGTCTTAATGACTTTCTTCTCCACCGGAATGAATATGTAAATCCTAATTCTTTTTTCATTGATTGCAAAGCTTAAAAATGCAATGCATTTATTTTAGATATTCTTGGATAATTATGGAAAATTATATCGTAATCATAGAATCCACTGAAGACATATTTCACTGCTTCATATGGATGAACTATAATGGAACTGGAAATTTAAACAAACATGCAACTGACAACATACTGGGAACTAGTCAGCCTACTAACTGTGAGAATATTACAAGTAAAACTGGCGACGAGGAGAAATCTGATGAATCTGGAAAATCCAAAAATTGTGAACAAATTGTACGGGAAGTTGGAAGAAATCCTGTCACGTCTCTTCTGAGTTATGAACAATATGGAAAGGGCTTTACACAGAGAATATATTTCAAACAGCATTTCACCTTTGAAAGTCTATGTGGATAAAGTGCTCAAATTCATATTTTTTAAAACCTGCCCAAGGATGCAAGTAAGTGAGTGAATGTTAACGCATTATGTATTTTCTTCTATTTTTTTACAATTGTATTTGTGAATCCAATCCATGTCCCTGTTTGATTGTAAATGGGTGTGTTTAGTTTTATAAAAGGATATATTAAATAGCAATGATATTATTTTGTTGAGTTTTGTTTTATTATTCCCTGGCTATCTGGGATTGCATTATTAAGACCCTTTTAATGTCTTTTGCAAGACTGCATTTTCAGCTCTTACCAATATAATAACACAATACAGGTCGAGATGTACGAGTTTGCTGTCACAAATTGCTACGAGAACTGTTGTGTTGTAAATGAAACATTCCTTATTGGTTAGGCACAGAAATTGATACTACGGCATAGGATGAGGGTCCATCAAAACTGAGATTCACAAATAGGGGTCCGCGGCCCAAACAATTTGAAAAACAGACAACAGACTGCTCTTATCTATGCTGCTCTGACATGCTTCATTTTAGGGGTATATTATGCTTACGGTAAATTTCCTCGATGGCCAAAAATAATCATTCGCAAACGTTCAACAGCGAAAATCAATCCTTTTGCACATAATTAGCCCCCACAAGATTCAAAAATGCAAATTCTATCTGTCCCTAATGTATTAAAGGATGCACACCCCTGGCTTTGGGTGTTTGAGTTGCATTTGTAAATGGCCCAATTGCGAAAAACCCTTTCCACATTGTTTACATCATGAGGTTTTTCTCCTGTATGAGATCGCTCATGCACTTGTAAAGTAGTAAATGCTACAACGTTTGCATACATGAGCTTTCTCTCCAATATGAGTTCGCGTATGCGCTTGTAAATAAAATAATCACTCATAGCTCTTTTCACATTGTTTACAAACATGAGGTTTTTCTCCAGTATGAGTTCGCACATGTCTTTGTAAATAGGTAAATTGCGTAAAACTCTTTCCACATTGTTTACAAGCATACATATGTACCCAGTATGAATTCGCTTGTGCACATGCAAATTAAATAATCACATTATTTACAAACATGAGGACTTTCTCCAGTTGAGTTCGCTCATGCACATGCAAATTAAGTGATCGCTTATAACAGTTTCATAACAATTTTCACTGTGAATGTGCAAAAACATATGCTTTTCCAAGCTGGCTCTTGATGAAAAGTTTTCATTACTTTTCCATACACATTTTGCAAAACTGACTGTTGCCATGCATAAAAAGTAGATGAATATAAAAAAATTCTAATGTTACTCAATCAAATTGTTAAATCATCAGCTTGTCTCTCCACGTGAATCTGATTAGTTATGTGTCTGCTCATAGGATAGGATTCACATATTTATCCCAAGGAGAGAGACCTCATCATATGGTGAACCATGGCTGGTCGGTTACCAGTTCGTCACTAGTTAGCAGTATTTGGAAGAATAGACTTGATGGTGGAGTGAGCCGCAACCGACCAGCGATAATGTGAACCACCCTACAGCGAGTCCGGCAATCCGCATGCATATAACTATCCCCACGTGGGATTCGAACCTACGAAATCACGCAGGGTAATTATAGGTGCGGTGGCGAGCATATTCCTAACGCTTACTGATATGAGAATTTATAATGAAACAGTTGTATTGTAATGCCCTCATCTTTTATGGATATTCAAATTAACAATATGCATTATGGTGACACTAATGGATATGCAAAACAATCATCTCAAATTTTGCCATGGACAGCACAAAACACTCAGTTAGTGCGGTATAAGGAATGTTATGTAAACAGGCTACCGTACAAGTTTGACACTTGACAAGTGAATGAATCAGTGTTTTCCAACCTTTTTTCTTCCACGTACCGGTACCACCTCGTGGTTTTATGCAGTGCTCGCGTACCACCTACAGCAGCGGTCGGCAACCTTTTTTAAGTGACGGACCACCATTATACAAACAAACTAAGCTTACGTAGTAAATTGTACGAGTTAGAAAATTTATGTTGAAATTATCTCCAAAAACAGAGGTACCGGCGATGCTATTTAATGCGAGATCTGTATTTGTTTGCCCATTAACTGTTCCCAATTGGAGATAGGGTCGACAGTAAAACACGTAACGGGTTTCTTACGTCCACCCTATTTTGGTATCTCGTTTATGTAGTTGTAATTGAAAATATATATCGAAAACCCGATACATATGGTAAGGTAACACTGTCTGTGAAGCTTCTCTTGCAATGTCTGAATATTTATCTGAGAGTATCGCCCAAAAGACTGATCGCAAATACGCTTTTCAACTCATTATCATTTGAAATTTTAATCGCAGGGATTCGTTGTTGTTAGATTGTAGAGATGTTTTTGGGACATTGTCCGTTTTTATGTAATCTTTTTGCGGACAGGTGATGGGCCGCGGCCCGGTGGTTGCCGACCACTGACCTACAGTACATATATTTTGCGGGCAAAAGGCAGTCAAATTTCTTCAAGCATTTATGATGTCATAATCACACATTCAATCGATGCGAAGTTACGATAACAAATTTTTTTCCACTAGGCGGCATCAGTCATAATTGATGAGATTGCTTTAAATACCCACCCACAATTACAAAGGTTCATTTCTTTCTGCGTTAACTGCAATTGTTCATTATTCACTAGCTAATGGGTTCTCAACCTTTTTCCTCTCATGGCCCATTTTCGTTGCCCCAAATTATGGTGATCCCCACTTTTTCATGCAAGGCAAACACAACAAGAAAACTAAAAAATCCCACATCAATAATCAGAATTAAAAGCATTATCATAATTCATTGCTCCTACAATACAAATTTAACCACAGTTACACAAATTAAATCAAAGTTTTCAATAACCATATCAATTTTAATCAGTTTGCGGCAACCCTGAAAATGTTTATGTGGCTCATGGCCGACAAGTTGAAAACCGGTACATTAGCTAGACCAGTGGTTCCCAACCTTTTTTGGCTCGCGACCCCCTGCCTCACTTTCTATACTTGTCAATAAAATAAGCGGCAAAGAGGAGGCGAGCTTCTTACCACTTCATGACAGCTGCTGCCACGAACGTACCGATGGCAGCTCTTGCCGTGGTTATGGCGCTTTTACCGGTATATTCATAAAGTCGTGTACCAGATTTTAGTGCATCATGCGAAATTATATCTACTTAAACCTGAAACCTAACCCCAAATTCATCAAAACTGTATCCATAAGAAAAATGTTCCAACCTAACCCATATTTATTTATCCGAGACAGCCCTGCCATTACAGCCGACATGCCGTGGTTACGGCAGCAAAATTTCAGCCGCCTTTGGTTTCCAATTTGCTGCCGTGGTAACGACATCTCGCTATTGGTTTCAAAATCCCGACATTGCTTCGAAGCCCGCGTGGTTTCCGCATTGTGACGCGCGGAAATGCAGACGAGTTCTTGTGACGTCACAATGGTTAACATGCCATTAACACCTCGCGCCGCTTGCTTGGTTTCCAAGCAATAAGCGACATTCTGGGGTTTCCCGACAGCTAGTGAAAAACTCTTGGAGGCAGACGAGAGTCCATTCCAGACTTCTTCGCGTTATATTGCCAAAATTTATCCTGAGGTTTTTTATTATTTTCTACTGTTTTGTCAGACCTTCGCGACCCCCCTAGAAACCCGCCGTGACCCCCAGGTTGGGAACCACTGAGCTAGACGATGCGTGGTATACTCTTGCTCGTAGCACATCAACAGTCATGCATGTTGTTTTTTATACTTGAACATCACCAGGGATGAAAATCCGTACTCGCTCTCCCGCGTAGAATGAAAAATTAGCAACTAAGAAGTAGCGTGAGAACGAGGGGACCATGCTGAGCCAGAAGGACAATCCCTGTGTTTCGTCTTTACTGTTCACAAATCAGCATAAAGAGCTAAACATGACGTTTTAATGAAATTTACCATTTTGAATATGTGTTCGCATCTAACCTAAACATTTTGTGGCGTCACATATGTGAGGGAAAATACGTTCAAAAAAACTCAAAATCAACCCCATTTCAATCAAAAACTCTCTCTGGTCGAAAAAAGAACAGAGTAACCTGGAAGACCTTCGCGTACCACAGGTTGGGAATCACTTTCATCAAATAATGAAATTAGAGCTCTGCCGATATTGCGTGTTTGCCGATATCAGTCATACTCTGCAAGCGATGCGTGCTTCAACGGCTCTCGCCTCTGCATAACTGCTGGTTTCCCAATATTTCTCTCGCTTTCATTTTGCGTTAAAAAGGTGTCTCTCCTAATTTCCGTGGCACATGATTAGCCAATTCATGCATGGTCATAACTGAAAAGTTATTATCCGGAGTAACGTTTTTGAGAGAGTGCACAATGTGAAAAAGGCAAATTTAGTATCAATAGAAAACGATGGTTATCACAGAAACATAGTACAGGTAGCTCGAAGCAATAATTTCATCACAGTAGTTCCTAATTTGTGACCTTCTCAAATTAAATTTTAAATTTCTGGGGTTAACAGTTTCATCAATATTGATGGTTGTTTTATCATTTAGCTGAGAATTACACAAAAAACCCTAATTCATTATAATTGACTAAATAAGGTATTAAGAGTCTCTAGAAACAATTAAAAATTTCACATGTAACTGCACATATACTATCACAATATCGAAGTAATTTATCAATATCACGATTCACTTCAAAATATATCAATTTATAATTTTCCAATATGCCCACGGCCACAGTTATATTTAAAAACGTCAGATTAACAATTCTTTTTCCTGGAAAAGGCTAGACTGATATTGAAGTCGCAGTCAAAGTTACAGAATAAAATTTGTTTAAGCATTAACTGGAGTTAGTTAAATAAAAGTCTTACTGCAATGATAATAAATATCAAAATGAAACTACGGACTTACGAGGTACATAATAAAAGCCCATTTTGTGGCTCAAAATATGATTTATATTAATATCGGTTATCGGCCACTAGTTTGCCGATATATCGGCGTCGAAAAGTGATATCGGTCAAGCCTAGATGAAATACAGCATCGGTATCATACTCTATAATAGGGATTTGAATTTGTGATAATACATGACTGAAAAAGGGAGATACAATATTTCTGTGTCGTGTGTGCTATTGCAGTAGTAAATTTCACCATTTACAGTCCCAGAGCACTTATTGTTAACACTCAGAATACCGCATTATAAACTTGCCATTTTTTGCATTTTTATCTGAAAGCTTAGCCATTCCTGCATCCAGACAACGCAGCATTACGGTACTAACACTGCAATATACAATTTTGAATTAAGCTGTATGGGCAGATGGATGAATTGGATATAACTTACTCTAATGAGCCCAAATGACTGGCTAACCAATTCCATACCAGTACCAGACATTGGCCGGTAACTGAACAAGAGCTGTGGCATGAAAAGCAACATTTATGAGTGTGATTTAAACCAGAAGAAACGAGTATTGTGACAACAATAAAAGTACACAACAACATAAGCAAAGTTTTCTGGCGCAGACCGGGGTTAATATATGGTGTAAAAAGGGCTAACTGCTATATAGTTGTCTGGCTTTTCTAGGTTTGGTTATATAACTGTTTGTACTTTGTACCCAATTCGGTTCGTAATATAGAACCCGACTTCATTTAAAACTAAAATTTAATAAATGGAAACATTTGAAACGCAGCAAGAGCTTACATACAGTTTTCTCATATTTTTGGTTTCGTTGCGGTATATTGCGATTGTTATTGGCCACGTTCGTGGACCTATGTATCGTTTCAATATTATGTCGCTGTCATTGTCCTTGTTCCTTGACACGTTTTGAAAAAGTCACTTTTCTCTTTGTTTACTGAACCAATTACTTTGAAATTTTCAGTGGTTAAAGATATTTGTTCTAGAAGACCATCTTTTATTAATTTCAAATATTCCTGTAGGCTTTATGGCAGTGGCGGCGCGTGGTTATTTTGACAACCGGGGCAAGCTACTGCGGGACCAAGTCACCCCAATCTACGGGGACAGGATGAGCGCTGTAAGTTCTCCCATCATTTTATGAGTATAAAAACCATTCCATCGGTAACAACCAATCGGCAAAAGCGACAATTTTTAACGATAAGAAAGTGTCTTTAAAACCGGTTCAAGTCAAGGGATTAATAAATATAGACATAGTTTATTTTGAAACCTCTTTCAAAAGGAAATGCAATATTTACCCAGATAAATACAATGACATATTAACAAAAACTTCGGGAAAGCAGACAAAACCTAAAATAAGGTTTAAAACGTTACGAAAGTTAATGCAAAGATAAGGACATGCGTCGCTCACTCATAGATATATATGCTGCTAGACTTCTACTGCTTGAACATATATGCAACACGCCGCGGTTTCTTGGAAGCAAAATGCTCAATAACGCGCTGATTAAAGTCATGCATCCCAGAAATAACGTCTCTGTGAATGGATAAAACAGCCAAGGAATTTAATCTATCTTGCTTCATTGTGTTTCTGAGATACGTTTTAATACGCTTCAGCGTGCTGAATGTTCGCTCTGCGTCGGCGGAAGCAATAGGCGTCATCAAAATGATGTCCAGAAATTTTGCAGACGCCGCAAAGGTAGTTACTAAAGTGTTATCTATGAGGAACCCATAGAGCGCGCAAGTTGATGTGATGTTCAAAAAAGTTTGATTGGTGTATATACATCACAATTCATTTTCCAATTTAGTCACGTTTATCATGGGGTAAAATTTGGAGACAGTAGCCAACAAATTGACGTGCAAATTTTGAAAAATTTTTGGGGTTTATCAAAGAGAACGCGGCAAGGTGTTCAGTGCGCAGACGATCGGCTATTTGATTCACCAGAATGTCACAGCATTCCTTTGCAGACAAAATCAAACGCTGCGTTGTTTGCCCGCGGCGTAAAGAAGTACTCCATGTGTCGTCGTATTTTATTGTTTCCCGGATACGAGATACAGCATCAGACGCTGCACATCCATTAGCCTTGACTGCAATACGCCGTATAATACATCCACGTGATAGAATATTGTGGAGAAAAAAGCGAGAAAAAATGAAAACTCACCATCTTCTAGCAGACGCTTTAGACCTGCCGCCTCCCTCACAGAGCGTTCGTCCCAAACCGGAGAGCTCTGAATGCCATTGAAACACTCAATGAGCTCAGACCTAATTTCGGACACGCCCTGCACCACACGTGATTGGAAGTTCCAACGTGTTGTGCACAAGCTGAGAGACGGCGGCTACATATCTGGCGAAGGAGGGCAGAGCGCTTCAGCGAAACGGAAAAAAATGAAGAAAACCCCGAAACATTTGCAAAAAATATACGGACGAGAGGGGTATCAAGACACATATTTTTAATAACGAGGTTAAATTGGTGTGCATAACAATGTAAAAAATGCGCATGAGGAAAATCTTCTTTTATATAAACTTGAACACCATGTTTCGACCCACTCATGACTGCCGCGCCGTCATAAGTTTGAGCTATCAATTTTGACTTCGCGTTGTAAGGCTGTAACACTTCTTTCAGTACAGCCGATATCCCGCAAGCCGTGCGATCAACGATTGGTACAAAGCTGTGAAATCTCTCGGTAGGTTTACCATCTTTCACAAACCGAAAAATCACAGCCAGTTGGGAAACGCACGTGATGTCAGTTGTCTCGTCAGACTGAATCGAAAGGAACTGGCAATTCTCAATTTCCAGAGCCAAATGTTGTAAATAAATTTTATACATTGAGTCGAGCAAATCATTTTGGATATCCTTAGATGTCCCTTTCGAAACAGTTGCGGCATCAAGATGATCTCTCAATACTGTATCTAGGGATGCGGTGTATTCCACCATATCCAAAAATACCCCCTATTAGAAGAGCCAGCCCGTTCATCGTGCCCACGGAGGGACAGCTCGTGACAACCAATGAACTTCAAAACATCTATCAATCGACCGAGAACATGGCGGTTTTTCTCGACGTTTTGGTTGTGCCGACGAATAGAAACCGCGCGTCCTTCATCCAACTGTGCTGCAATATTAACATTTCCGAATGTTCGGTATTTTACTGCATTGTCCAGATGCTCCATAGAAGATTGATGATCCCTGGCACGCTCGGAAAGATGTTTAAGATCTCTAAAACCAAATTTACACCAACGTGAGTCACGGGCGGTAGCAAAAAGTAGGCAATAAAAACAAAAAAGTGCATTTTTGTCCTCGCTGTAACACAACCATTCGTGTTTTTTATACCAAGTTTCTGCGCAGAATGTACGCCGACGCTTTCCTCCGTCATGGGATTGTTCCAGTGAACAATTTTTTGGTTGATAAGGCCCAAGACGTTGTACCTCTAATTTTTGTTCCAGCGGCAGCTGCGAAAACGGAGTGCGAAGTAGTGCATCAACCTTATTCATTATGAGGTCTAAGGCTAAGAAATGCGAAGCCGGAAAGAAGTGAAAATCGAAAGCAAATGGACTAAAGGTCTCTAACTGATTCAAATAGCGAAACAAGCGACAAAAACGAAGGCGAGGAAACTATCAACTCTTCAAGCAACCAACGAACGAGAAGGAATGCGTGAATATGTCAACACGTTGTTGTAAGAAACGTCGGCATTGTGTCGTCATAATTTCGGGGCTAGCCCCGATGATTTAGTAAAAGAAACAGAAAACAAACAAGACAAACGCGGCGAGTGGAAGATAAAAGAGAGAATACGATATACAATGAGCAACCGGGGCAAAATCGGCGTCGCCCCGTCGACGTTCGGCGAAGGCTTTGCGAGCGAAAAATGAACCATGTCGGGAGAATATGGCTAGTGTAGACAGTCTGTGCAACCGATATTGAGGTATTTTTCGAATATTTTTTATTATACCGAAAAAACAACCTATTGGCCCTATTGACGCGCCGCCACTGCTTTATGGGATTCGTTTTTGTGAGCTATGACGTCATCAGAATTTGCCACCACTCACATCCCTCTTACATAGTCTACAAACTTACATTTCCGCGAAAAACCCTTTCCACATTGTTTACTAGCATAAGATTTTTCTCACGTGAGTTTGCTTGGCTTGTGATTACGTAAACTACGTAAATTTGAAAATTGTTTTCACATTGACAAGCATAAGGTTTTTCTCCAGAGTGAATTCGCTCATGCCCTTTTAGATGATCCAATCGTGAAAATCCGTTGATACATAGTCCACAAACGTACGGTTTATCTCCTGTGTGAGTTCGTCCATGCCTTTTCAGATGGGATGATCGTGAAAAACACTTCCCACGGTTTCTCTCCAGTATGGGTTCGCTCATGCGCTCGTAAATTAGATAACCGTGAAAAATCTTTTCCACATTGTTTACAAATATGGGGTTTCTCTCCAGTGTGAATTAGCTCATGCTCACTTAAATGAGATATTTTTTTAAAACGCTTTTCACATTGTTGACAGGCATAAGGTTTTTCTCCAGTGTGAGTTCGTTCATGAGCTTTTAGATGGGATAATCGTAAAAAACACTTCCCACATAGTTTACAATTATAGGATTTCTCTTCGGTATGACTTTTCATATGCCTGTCTACATTCTGCTTCACTTTGAAGCTCTTTCCACATCGCTGACAGATATATGGTTTACCTCTATTGTTGGTTTGTAAATTAGATCCTGATGTGATGTTGGTATGAACAAGTGACTGGGTTTGTAATTTCACATCCAGTTTAGTGGTTGTGTTGATTTGCTCACAATTAGGCAGTATTTCAATTTTATCAGCCGGGCCTCTCTCTCTCTGCATTCTTCAGCACCACTTTGTAAAGATGTTTTACCACAATTCTCCTCAGAGTTGGTATGCTGACTAGTTCCCTCAATGTTAGTTACATTTTCATTCAAATCTACATCATGATATAATTTTCCATACTGCAGATATATAAAATTACGAGAAAATGTTTGCATTTCGTGACTCTTTCCATCGTCATAAAATATAATAAAAAACTTAAATATATATTTCACGTTATAGAGCGAAAGAATTTCTTGTCTTTCTATTCGATACGCAAGTGAATTTCATTTAGGGAAAGAGCAATTAGTTATAGGCACTGTGTAGTAATCAGTTATAGTAAACATAAGTACTATAAGCACACAGAGCTGTGAGGCACTTCCGCATTTTTTAGAGACTGCAAAATTGCAGTTTCTTTTTTTTAAGTTGATAAATAGATCTTCTGATTTTTATATGTTAAGGAACAGAAGCTTTCACAGCGAATTAATCCATCTTGTATTATAGCATTAATAGATATGACATGATCCGTGCATAGTAAAACAGAGGCAATCCTGTGTTGTAAAATAGAATTTAGGTTACTTAAAAAGACAATGAAATATGTTTTTTTCCAATTCTGTTTCGAACTTGTGAGCACAAACAATAAAATCACAACACTACTGTGCTCAAACTTGGTTATTACACCTTGCGTAAATAATGCTGGGGTTAGGGCTGCCTGCATTGTTTCCTTTGGTTGGCTGTTGGTTTGTAAATTTGCACCAGAATTATGTGATTTCGCAGTTTCAGCTTTATCACTCAAGTAAAGTTCCTATAGAACTGTAGAAAGTAAAATAAATATCAAGCGGACAGCATCATTTTACCATTCAATATATACAATACAGGGTGCCGCCTCCGTCCATCAGTATGTAATATACCTATATACCTTAAAAAATTCTCTAGGGATGGGCAATGTAGAATAATTTACTATTCTAGAATAGTTAAATCGAATCCAGAATACCGAATCCTATTCTATTTTCATACTTATTCAAATAGAGGGAATTTTCCTGATTGCTGGATTTAGATGTCAAAAAATTATAAATGTATTACTATAAATGTATTATTCATTTGGAAATGTCCTTAACGTTAGATTTGATACTAAACAGGAATTTCCCAGGACAATGAAATCTAAGAATATTACAATATTTTTGCTTTCAATTATTCTAAATGTATGTAATCTCTGAATACTTATATGCTATATTACGCTTCAAACACTTTAATAGTAAGCGGTTAAATACAAAAATAGATATGAAACGTCATTAAATCATTATTAATGTTATAGAGTGTCGAGTGTACTAAAGCACACCCGCTGAGAATTAATTAGATGCAGGACCAGCGTGTGGCCACTGCAACCTATGCGACCGGTGTAAAATATTAAATTTAACCACTATCAATTAAAATCAACTTATTATTCTGTGCGATCAAGACGTGCAAAACAAGGTTCCCGTAAACGCGATTTCGCAGTTAGTTATTAGTTAACATCATCTAAAGACGAATTCAATTACTATTATTATCGTTACATATCATTATCTACCCAGACTTGGCCCTACTCAAACTCAATACGTAACTATTTTCGCCAGATGTGGCATCTTTTTTTTAAGTTTATCGGCGAATAAAATTACTACAGACTCTCGATCAAATGTGCGTCTATCTTGAACGATAGAAACGGACCAAAAGATATGTAATCTTTTGGGAGTGAAATTTAAATGCGACAGATCGTCGTGTTATGCGATATAACTTTGTATTTCGAAAACTGGTGTAATAAAAGTAATAAAATTATTCCAAAATAATATTTGATTTAAATTAATCGCAAGTAATGTCATAACATTTTACGCCTGGCTTTTGATTTACATGCATCATTTTCTGGGGAAAACTCGCCGGTCGCGGAAAATCATTTACAGTAATGTAAAAGAAGCAAGGCACGCCTGTAAACAATTGAAGATTGTTGCAATCAATTATCGGAATATCGCCAGTAAGTCGGCACAAATAATTATTATTAAACCCTCAGATAGCAAAGCAGGAAACGCAAAAAATGGTGCAAAACGAGTCTTCGTCGTAAGTGTACTTCACGACTCCTTGTCCAGAATACGCCAATTGAGATTACTGTGTTTGATGTTTACCGGTTCTACTGGTTCTTTCCGAGCAGACGCAAGTCTAGTTTAAACGAGAGAGATTTCCACGCGAGAAAAGAACGCTCGTCTTTAATTGATAAATTAGAAAACCGAAATGCAAAAATCGACGCATGGTGCCGGAGAGGCGGAAACCGAATCCTGTTATCGGATCCTGTTGGATTCGAATACTTTGGGATTGGAATCCTCCGGATTTGGTATTCTATATTGCCCATCCCTAAAATTCTCCCTATATCATATAATCGTGCTTTATTATTGAAAATTTTTCACTTTTAAATTATAAAACCATCAATTTTATTAAATATTATCTAAACCCCCGCCGCTCACTGCTCACAGGTGGACCACTGATACTAATTCAGTAATTTAGCGTAGTTAATCACATCGTTACTGCAATTGCAGAATTAAACTAAAGCTCAACATAAACCATATCAGGCATAATGAAAATTAAGTTATACAACTATTTTTTGGAAAACAGAATGTAAAACGGACAAATACCGGCAAAACTATAAAAAACGAGGCGATGCTTACAACCCTCCTTGAACATCTGTCTGAGCAGCTGCAGAAACTGCAATATTTCTATTGGGTATAATGAACAAACAAGAAATTGATGCTCCAGGAAATCCTAATGTTAAGTAGCTAAGTACGTTGTTACACACTATATATTGTATTTTATATGATTTTAATAATAGACACTAGAATAGACTTGAAAAAAGCCAAAAAAACACCAAAATGCCAAACGGAAATTTTGACGCCAAACGCGTTTGAAAAAATGGTAACCCTGCTACTAACTGGCTGCCAAAGAAACAGTTACAGAATTTTTCTATTTAAATAATCCTACGCGGAAAAATTACATGTGGCATAAAATTAACAAAATGGGTCACCAAGTTTTGACTTCCTGCGTATTGTTTTGTAATGAATATTTGGCAGTATTTGAAAAAAATTATACATCTGTCATGCTTGATTTTCTTGTTCCACCCATAACAAATTTTAGTCAGCCATAACCTAACGTTAATCTAAAAGTGGTATTTGAACCGTCGCGCAAACATTTCAAAAATAACTTTATTCAGCAGTATGATAGCGTAGTTTCTCACCAGGTATATTGAAGTGCCACAGATGTAATTTGCCGACGTTTCGAATTTATATACATACTTCCTCAGAGCATGATATGCAATGACAATAGCGCATATAATGCAAGAAAAACGTTATCACGATGTAAAATTTAATTCCTTCTCGAGAGACCCAAGTTTGTTAAAAATTAAATTTTGTAAAATCTCGCGACCAATAGCAAATTTAATAATAAATACAAAACTGTGTAATTGGTAATTTTTGGCCAGATGTAATTGTTCCGATTGGAGTATTTGGTTGTATTAAGCTTTAGTTTAATTCTGCAATTGCAGTACCGGTAACGATGTGTTACAGGCATGGAAGGGTAAACAGGTGAAATACTAGAATTGAAAACTAAACAAAAAGTAATAGCGCCGAAGATAACAACTTGGTTAGTGGAAACAAATGGAATACAAAAATTAGAAACAATCAACATTCTAAAGGATGGACAACGAAATAATAGGATTCCGATAATAAAAACTACTTCGGCATTGCTGTACGGGCTACCCAAGATTCCAATTTTACATACTTGCTTCGCAAAGAACTAAGAAAAAAGAGATGGACAGGCATTTTGGTTCCATTACATTTGAACCTATGGCAATTGCACCTGTATGCTATTGCACCTATGGAATTTTTTTTTGTTTTTCGGATAGTTGAACCCACACTAACCCTAACCCATGGGTTTTAGCACCCTCATATAGATTGAACCGTTGGATATACACATGGGTTCAAATGTACGGTCACCGGCATTTTATATGAAACATTGCACCTAGTACACTACAGCACATCACAACGTCGGATTTTATTTACAATGAGGATTGAGGAAATCAACCAAAAGACATTTCGATTTATTTATTACTCATCCTGACACTGCTTTTATCTAACTCACTAGTTCGCACTTGTTTACGCCAATTTAATAAACACAGCCCGATCATGTCCGTTTTGACGTAAACAGTTTTAAATTAGAACCTACCGCACCTGCATTTTGTTTGTAACACAAGTCAGACGCCCGAACGCTGGAACGATAACACGTTCGTGTTTTTATTCTTTTTTTGTAATATGTTTGTGAGTGTAATATCATGGGTGAACAGGCACATGTATTTATACGTGTTTTAAACCCTACTCGGGGTTTTGCCTGTTTTCCCGATTTCCCATTATTCTGTGTGTTTGTTTTATGTGTTCATTATTTGTTATGTGTATGTTTTATCGGGGAAATCAAAATAAAGATTATTATTATTATAGATTATTATTCCGCGTAGGAGTAATTTAAAAAATCTTGAACAGTTGTTTAAGCCACACATTGGGCATCCTTTTCCCAATATCGGTACCGGTACTGTAAAATCAGCAAGGTCAGTTAGGTTGCTCCAGTATTTTGGATTTAGGAAATTCGTACATGAAGGCAGATCACAGCTCTCTCAAATACCCCATAAAATGTTTCTTGATATAACAGGCAATATTTTACTCACAAATTCATTGTATTGTGGCGAATCGGTCTTGGATACCGGTACCGGTACCCGGTATATATTCTTCAGATCCCATGCTTGTCACCAGGTCTATTCATATGTAGTGCTTTATAGCAAATTAAATGACCAATACAAGTTTGTTTATTTTTTGCCAGATATAGTTTATCCGCGTAGGAGTAATTAAAAAAATCCTCAACAGTTTTAGCGAATCATTTCGACTGTTCTTCGCAAACCTGCAAGGTCATTTGGGTTGCTCAAGTGTTTTGGATGGAGGAAATTCGTATATGAAGGCAGATCTCAGTTCCCACAAATAGCCAATACACTAAACAGACGTGAAGGTAGTCTGCGTCATAGTTCAATCAATCATTTATTTCGGTACTCTGACATAAAAACAACACAAAAACTGGACAAACAAACAAAATGCAGAGATACCTGGAAGGCGAGCATAACTTAAAATAAAGTTAAAAAATGTATAAAAGTACGCGCTCGCCCACCGAAAAAAATACCAATTACCAGTACTGGTAACGACGTAATGCAGTAATGTACGTTTTCATTGTTTCTGCGTGTGCTCCACAGTGCTAACTTGATTAAAAGCTTTATTGGAGAGATTCTAGCAGTTTTTAGTTATATTCATGTATCATCATGAGAAGTTTAACCACTCAATATAGAGTATGTAGTACCGGTACTTTCCGTTTGGCGTTTTTTTCAAGTCTATTCTAGTGTCTAGTATTAAAATCATATGAAATACTATATTTCCTGGAGCATCGATTTCCTTGTTTGTTATATTAACTCTTAACCATATCCTACCCAATAAGAAATAATTGCAGTTTCTGCAGCTGCTCAGACAGATGTTCAAGCAGGGTTGTAAACATTGTCTCGTTTTTATAGTTTTGCCTATTTGTCAGTTTTACATGCTGTTTCCAAAAAATAGTTGTATAACTTAATTTTCATTATGCCTGATATGGTTTATGTGAGCTTTAGTTTAATTCTGCAATTGCAGTAACGATGTGATTAACTACGCTAAAATTACTGAATTAGATATCAGTGGTCCACCTGTGAGCGGCAGGGGGTTAGATAATTTTTTAATAAAATTGATAGTTTATAAATTTTGTAATTAAAAAAATTTTCAATAGTAAAGCACGATATACTAATATAGGGAGAATTTTTTAAGGTATATCACCAATTTAAGTAGAAACATGTAGGTATATTACATACTGACAGACTGAGGCGGCATCTTGTATTGTATATATTGAATGGTAAAATGATGCTGTCCGCTTGATATTTATTTTACTTTCTACAGTTCTAAAGGAACTTTACTTTCTATTTGTGTGCCTCACCGAATTAACTGATGGCTCTACATCATCATCGGTACGTTGCCAAGCGCTTAAAATCTGACAAATCATGGGGCTTTTGTACTTAGTAAAATTGTTGGCTTTCTTAGGTCTTGATTTGGCTTTTTTTGATCGCTGGGGTCTGGCAACCCGGCTGGGAATAATTAACCGGACGAACACTGAATTATCAACATCGGATTTCATATGTATAATGGATTGTTTATGCAACTGTTTTTATTTTTCTACAAATAATTGGAACTCAATACATGCAATTGTTGTTCAAAAAAAATAAAATAATTTTGTGTAAAACATTGTTAAAACCTTCCTAACCCGCACTCCCTAGTCAAATTTTTAAAATATTTTTAATTAGCATTTGTCACCTAACCAAGATGGCTTGAAAGGCCATTGAAGGCTTGTTTGAATCGTATTATTGTCTTCTATACGCAAGAGGTCGCTAATGGACCCAGGGGCGCAGCCAGGGGGGAGGTTACATGGGTCGTAACCCCCCCCTTTGGAATCTTTTTTTTTTTTTAATAGTGTTACGTTTACTTGCAATAATTTTATTCTTTGCGTTATCACTTTCGCCCAGCGTCCTAATTTATTATTTATGTTTACGATTCGTTATCGCTGTTACGCGGCAGTGGATCTAGTTGCCAGCGGGGGGTCACGGAAGTGACAATCTACACTAAACATTTTTAAATAGAATTGTACTACCTTTCACTTGACACAAATAGCAACGGACGTATCACACTATTGCCGTCAAAACTATTCCACAAGCGCGCTCTCGCCTCGCCACATTCAACGCATCCATACTTTTAATCACATTCGTTATCGTTGGTTATCGGCTTATCGCTAATTACGAATTTTAGTTATGTAGTGCATCTTTAACAAGCGATGGCACCAGGATCATAAGCAAATAACAGACAAAATGAATTATTGGAAATGTATGGTTCATTAACAAAGGATTGCCAAATGTGGCAGCATCGAAAAAAGGTGTCATAAAATAATATTCAATCTTCGAAAACAAAGCATTGTAAAATAATGTTCAATCTTCGAGTAAAAAGTATCGTAATATAATGTTCAATCTTATGGAAATTTTTTTTTAAAGAATAATGTTCAATCTTCGAGATTTTTGGGTAGCAAACTCGTCCAAGACTCGTTTGGAATCGTCTGTCTGCGAAAAGCAGTTACATGCGTTGTCTTCCGAATCTTTTCAATAAACTGGTAACAATATGTTGTTAAATTATAATTAAATTATTATAGTTAAATTATCGCTGAAAGTGAAGAAGCGCTATGCGCAGAATGCAGCTATCACGGGCGCGGGATTTCAAATTCGCGACGATTTCACTTTCAGTAATATTGGTCTCGATGCATTGCAATAAAAATTAGAATTTATTAACAGTTAATTGCAACAAGCAAGAGTTTTACATTGAAAGACGTTCCCAATCAGTACGATACATGAGCTTGTTTTTAAATGATTGTAATCGTTTTATGAAGTTATAAATACGGGAACATCAAATATATTTATTTGGAAATGGATTGATATTTCGTGACGCACTCAAAAATAGTTTATGAACCATTGGCATTTGGCAAATATCATTAATTTATGCTATTTCTTAATGTTTCATGATTGCTAATATTTCATTCTATTCTAATTTTACATTTTTTGCGGTATTTCAATTAAAATGATGACGATGGCATTTTATTTAACTGTTGACAATGGGGTAATAATCGGCGATTACTAAAAGGTTGAAATGGGACATGCCAAAACATAATAAACGAATTGACGCCTGTCAAAGGGGGCAGGGTCTGGCGACAAATAGCCACATGTGTCGGTGTTTCTCTATCATCGGCATTTTCGGCATCACTTTGAAACTCTAAAACGCAAGGACACCCCGCGGAGTGAAGACTTTCTTTCGCATAGGGAAATATTTGAATTACGATTGCTGAATAAGCGAAAAAAACAAATGCTTATTTTCTTGCTTGAAACAACGATAAACCAATTTAACCCTGTTGCCAAAAGTAATAGCATGCATTATTAACAAACTGGTAATAATATGTTGATAAATCGCCGCTAAAAGTAGAGAAGCGTTATGTGCAAATATGACAGGAATTTGAATTTGCGACGAATTCACTTTCAGTAATATAGTTAACGGCGCATTGAAATGAAAAGTTGATTGATTTTTTTTGACCAAAGAGAATGGTCGGCGATTGCTGAAAGTAGGACATGCAAAGAAAGGCTAATGAGACACAGCGACGCACATGTTGTTTTGCCATCGTCGGAACATCTTTTTAAAGACCTATAAACGCGTTTTTATTTCACCGTAACCCCCCCCTTGAAAAAATCCTGGCTGCGCCCCTGAATGGACCGCTCCATGTACGAAATTTTGCGTACGCGAGAAAATTCATCGACGATAGTAAACAAACATTCGAATCTCTCTCCTTTATGGCCGTTGAACCTTTCTTATGATAACGGCACTCTCTCGCAAGCGTTATAGCTGTTTTGGTGTTTGTTTTCCTAACAAAATGATATCACAGGCAACGGTGTGGCGCAAACAGCTGCCGAGTAACGTAGCGGTCTATTTGTGAAGTCAGCGCAGTTCTTGTTTGTTTATTATTGTGCGGGTAATTATTAGTGCGTGTTTACGCAAGGAAAATGAGCGCTCGGCCGCGCAAATTACTTTCTTTCAAGTAATAACGTATTCCTTTGTATGTTTCTTAGCTTTCAAATATTTACAGATATAAAACTCGTAAAATTGGAAATATGCCAAAAAGGAGTGACGCACAACCCGGGAGCAAAAACACTCGGACAAGCCTATATCATGCTTGAAAAAGGCGCGAAAATGTCTTATTGGTTTTGTTTTGAGTTAAGTCCATAATAAGACGTGTACATAAAGAATGTTAACTCTTACTGACCAATCATATTAGAGCCATATTCATATTACACATAAGTCTAATGCAGGAATAACAGGGTTTTAATTGGCTTAAAAATATGATTAAATAGTTCCATAAAAAAATGGTTAACCAATTTCAGATGGTTAACGGTTACGTTTATTTTAACCGTTAACTGACATCTCAGGAACAAATCATCTTTATACTGTACAATTTCTTTAAATATGATACGTCATCGGAAATTTATCTCTTGTGCTGTTTAATTCAAAAGAATATTACTAACTGTGTGGGTAAGGACTCAATAAAAGTGAAAAATGATGAGAGTAACAAGGTTGCTGATTATGGAAATTTGACAATGATGAATTTAGAAGCAGTTTCCAGTCCATTTCGAAATATATTGTTCACGATTTCATTGCAAAATAGGATATTCAATGTCATACAACAAGTGCGCGGTTGATGCCTTTTTTCTTTATGATATATATCGCGAAGTCGAATTTGCACATCGAACACCGATAATTTGTCACATAAATGACGTTTAACAACGGAATTAGGTTTTCTAAAATACTTCCACACGCCCAAAACACTCTCCGATCTCTTGCAGCAGGGCAATCGTGAAACTATCTCGATTCGTGAATAATTTTGAGTGGTAACGATAAGAACACGCAAAATTGCTTTATAAGCATTGTGACGTAACACACAGAAATTATAAACCATTACGTCAAACGTCACGCGGCGGTTAACCGGTTAATTTTACCCGGTTAACGGTTAAAGTGTTTTCCCTGAAATTTCCAGCCCTAGCAGTTAGACATTTGATTTCTCTTCGCATAGGTGAGTCAAGTTGCTTTTTCTTCAATTAATTAGAACTCAATACATGGAATTGTTTTCCAAAAAAATATGATTCCATATTGGCACTGGAACTTAATTTGGCAAAAAAAAAGTCTTGGAATTAGGTAATTCGAATATAAAAGCAGCTCTCCAAATACTCAAACATCGATTTACTTAATGTACGATGTCAGGAAAGATGAGGACAGTGTGAAGCATGGGGTGAAGCCTAACCTATGTCAGTGTTTCATTGTTTGTTTTCCCTGTTCCTGCATGTATGCTGCAGTGCTACGCTGACTATACCCCAGGCCTATAACATGATTAGTTAATTTCTTATAGTTATATATATTCTATCTCACAAGCTGAGATTTCATTCATGATACATTTATTTATTGATTTATCTTTCTTTCTTCATTTTGGATTTTGAAAAACATGAATGTGAACTATTTGTATTGCATTTTGGGCAATAATCATTGGTTTCAGAAGATAAAAAATACATGATCTTTTAGATATTATTAACTATAGAGAATTCTATCAAAATCATGGAATCCACTGAAAACATATTTCCCTGCCTTAACTGTGATGAAAACTTTTCATCAGGCCCCAGTTTGGAAAAGCATATGTTTTTGCACATTAACCATGGAACTGGCGTTTTAAGCGAATACGCAACTAACAACATTGTGGGAACTAGTCTGCCTGTCAACCCTGAGAAGCCTGACAGAAAGGACAATATCAGTGGCTACAGCAGAGATGAACCATTTGCTTGCCAACAATGTGGAAAGAACTTCAAATCAAAGTGGCATTTAAATGTGCATATGAGAACTCACGCGGTTGAAAAACCTTATATATGTAAACGATGTGGGAAGTGTTTTTCACAACAATGTAATTTAAAAGTGCATACGCGAACTCATACTGGAGAAAAACCATATGTTTGTAAACAATGTGGAAAGTGTTTTGTGAAGTCATTTGATTTACATAGGCATGAGCGAATTCATACTGGGGAGAAACCTTATGTTTGTAAACAATGTGGTAAAAGTTTTTCGCAATCATCTCATTTACAAGATCATATACTAACTCATACTGGAGAGAAACCTCATGTTTGCAAGCAATGTGGAAAACGTTTTTCACATTTGTCTCATTTATATGTGCATGAGCGAATTCATACTGGGGAGAAACCTTATGTTTGTAAACAATGTGGTAAAGGTTTTTCGCAATCATCTAGTTTACAAGATCATATACTAACTCATACTGGAGAGAAACCTCATGTTTGCAAGCAATGTGGAAAACGTTTTTCACATTTGTCTCATTTACATGTGCATGAGCGAATTCATACTGGGGAGAAACCTTATGTTTGTAAACAATGTGGTAAGGGTTTTGTGAAGTCATCTGATTTACATAGGCATGAGCGAATTCATACTGGGGAGAAACCTTATGTTTGTAAACAATGTGGTAAAAGTTTTTCGCAATCATCTAGTTTACAAGATCATATACTAACTCATACTGGAGAGAAACCTCATGTTTGCAAGCAATGTGGAAAACGTTTTTCACGATTGTCTCATTTACATGTGCATAAGCGAATTCATACTGGGGAGAAACCTTATGTTTTGTGAAGTCATTTGATTTACATAGGCATGAGCGAATTCATACTGGGGAGAAACCTTATGTTTGTAAACAATGTGGTAAGGGTTTTGTGAAGTCATCTGATTTACATAGGCATGAGCGAATTCATACTGGGGAGAAACCTTATGTTTGTAAACAATGTGGTAAGGGTTATTCGCAATCATCTCATTTACGAGTGCATGAGCAATCTCATACTGGAACGAAACCTTGGACAATATCGCGAAAGTGGATGTGATGAGGCGAAGTGTGGAAGGGGATATATATTAAATGTCAAGATTCACAAATAGGGGTTCGCGGCCTCATACTGGGGAGAAACCTTATATTTGTCGTAAATGTGAAAAACCCTTTTCATGACGGCATGAACGAACTCATACTGAAGTAAAATCTTTATGCCTGTACACAATGTGAAAGGAGTTTCTAGATTTACCAAATTTATGTGTACATGAGCAAACTCATAGGTCTTCAAAATTAAGGTTTCTAAAACTGTTGAGAGTTGAAAATTGAGTTGTTTACTTAATTCTAATGTATTCCTTTGCAATAAGGCATCCAAAGCTTGTAGGTGCTTATTATTTGATGGTATTGTTACTATACAACAGCCATCAAAATGAAAGAGTGCAATTATTTGTCATAGTAATAGACTGATAATACAAAGTATTGCCATTATAATAAATTACAAATACCATTGAAAGGGATTGCCATCATATATCCCCGACATACGTTCTCATCCCTGCACCATGTTTCTAGGAATACTGACTCAACATGTGTTTCGCCACATGATTGAGCTGTCTTATTGACTTTCTTCTCCACCGGAATAAATATGTAAATCCTAATTCTTTTTTCATTGCAATGAAAAATGCAATGCTTTTATTTTAGATATTCTTGGATATTTATGGAAAATGATATCGTAATCATAGAATTCACCGAAGACATATTTCACTGCTTCATCTGTAATGAACACTTTTCAACAGGATCCAGTTTTGAAAAGCATATGTACTCATGCTGAAAATCATAATGGAACTGGAGATTTAAACAAACATGCAACTGTCAACATACTGGAAACTAGTCAGCCTACCTACTCTGAGAATATTACAAGTAAAACTCGCGACGAAGAGAAATCTGATGAATCTGGAAAATCCAAAAATTGTGAGCAAATTGAACGGGCAGTTGGAAACCCTGTCACATGTTCATACTAATACAAAGCCAATGCCAAATTTAAAAATCAACTGTAGAGATGAAAGATTTATTTGCCTGCAGTGTGGAAAGAACTTGAAAAGGGGATATAAATTAAATGTGCATATGAGGACTCATACTGGGGAGAAACCACATGCTTGAAAATGATGTGAAGAGTCATCAAATTTGAGACAAACGTCTATTCTGAGTTATGAACAATATGGAAAGGGCTCTACAGAGAATACATTTCAAACAGCATTTCACCTGTGAAAGTCTATGTGAATAAAGTGCTCAAATTAATATTTTTTCAAAACCTGCCCAAGGATGCAAGTGAGTGAATGGTAATGCATTATGTATTTTCTTCTATTTTTTTACAATTGTATTTGTGGATCCAATCCCATGACCCTGTTTGATTGTAAATGGGTATTTATGTGTTTAGTTTTATAAAAGGATATATTAAATAGCAATGATATTATTTTGTTGAGTTTTGTTTTATTATTCCCTGGCTATCTGGGATTGCATTATTAAGATCCTTTTAATGTCTTTTGCAAGACTGCATTTTCAGCTCTTACCAATATAATAACACAATACAGGTCGAGATGTACGAGTTTGCTGTCACATATTGCTACGAGAACTGTTGTGTTGTAAATGAAACATTCCTTATTGGTTAGGCACAGAAATTGATACTACGGCATAGGATGAGGGTCCATCAAAACTGAGATTCACAAATAGGGGTCCGCGGCCCAAAAATTATCTATGCTGCTCTGACATGCTTCATTTTAGAAATATTAGGGGTATTATGCTCACGGTAAATTTCAAAGGCGAAAATCAATTCTTTCACATAATTGGCCCCACAGGATTCAAAAATGCAAATTCTATCTGTCCCTACTGTATTAAAGGATGCACACCCCTGGCTTTGGGTGTCGAGTAAAGGATCACAGAACAACAACCACATATTTTGACAGGCTGCCTCTGACCACCTTGAAGGTGACTATGTAACGGTTTCTTCTTTGATTTCTCTCGCAAAAAGGCTGTTGGGCCATTGTGAGGAAAAAAGATGAGGGTGGGACACTATCAGCTATTACGAATCAATTTTGCAACACTCTCATAAATTCTCCTAAACTTCGATTTCGTTCCATACTGGAAACACCCAGTCAAGAAGAGGTCAACTTGTTCCAAAAAGCAACGTGGCTCCATCCCTGTCATAAAGGGAAATTTTTTGATCGTTCTTTCAGGGTCCAGGCAATATTCACTTACAATCTGGTATACCGCCGTATTTCTTACATTTGTGAAGTCAGGTCAAAACTACTCTTTCAAACGCATAGGCTGTGATGTTCCTAATTTACAACTGTGTATTCTGGATTCTGTTGTTCATTGTGCGAGTTTTATAAGCGGTTCAACTAAAACATTATCCCTTTCATATCATTTATAGACTTGTACAAACCCATCTATAATTTTTTTTTGTGTTTTAGAGTCAGAGTTTCTCAGAAATGGAAGCAACTGAAGCCTCAATGCCAGAAATACAGGATGAAATACATGTTGAACCTTCTGTAGTTACTGCTCCAGAAGTGGAACAAAATCCTCTCAAGGACTTTTTCCGATAGGCATTGACCAGTCAAGCTCCTCCGAATCGGATGGAAATGCATCTAACGTGTCAGAGGAAATTTCACAGTATTTGAAAGAGAAATTGGACAGAAATACAGAGCAGCTAGACCCATTATTGTGGCGGCATGCCCGAAAAACTGATTCTCCATCCCTACACAAAATGGCCATTCGGTACTTGGCTATACCGTGTACATCAGCACCAGCAGAGAGAGGCTTTTCTTCTGCTGGTCTGACAGTTTCCAGATTGAGAAGCAGACTCAGTGGCACACACGTAAATGAGTTGAACTTCTTGCACTGCAACCGAAGTTTGATGCAGCAGTGAATGATTGCTGGTTTGTTGTTCACCTTAATTGAACATTAGAACCATTTTTGCAGAGTATGCGTGTTTACTTAAAATAATCTTGTGTGTGTTGAATAAAGTCGAAAAAAGTGATGTTGTATTAATCAGAATCGATTCGGAAATATTCGATTCGAAAAACAAAATATTCGAAACTTACATCCCTACTCGCGAACCCCTGACTCACTTTCTATACTTGATAAAATCAATAAAATAAGCGGCAAAGAGGAGGCGAGGTTTTTACCACTTCATGACAGCTGCTGCCACGAACCTACCAATGTCAGCTCTTGCCGTGGTTATGGCGCTTTTACATGATGGCAATAAATATGATTAGGTTGGAACATTTTTCTTATGGATATAGTTTTGATGGATTTGGGGTTAGGTTCCAGGTTTAAGTAGATATAATTCCGCATGATGCACTAAAATCCGGTACACGACTTTGTGAATATACCGGGACTGCCCTGCCATTACATCCGACATGCCGTGGTTACGGCAGCAAAATTTCAGCCGCCTTTAGTTTTCAATTTGCTGCCGTGGTAACGACATCTCGCCATTGATTTGTGGCAGCTAAAAAGTCAGTCGCCATGGGTTTGGCCATAGCGGCCATGGTTTCAAAATCCCACCATTGCTTCGTAGCCCGCGTGTTTTCCGCATTGTGACGCGCGGAAATGCAGACGAGTTCGTGTGACGTCACAATGGTTAACATGCCAACACCTCGCGCCGCTTGCTTGGTTTCCAAGTAATAAGTGACATTCTGGGGTTTCACGACAGCTAGTGAAAATCTCTTGGAGGCAGACGAGAGTCCATTCCAGACTTCTTCGCGTTATAATATTTATTCTGAAGTTTTGTATTATTTTCTACTGTTTTGTCAGACCCGCCGCGACCCCCCTGGTGATCGTGACCCCCAGGTTGTGAACCACTGAGTTAGACGATGCGTGGTATACATTTGCTTGTAGCACATCAACAGTCGTGCATGTTGTTTTTTATACTTGAACATCACCAGGTAGCAGGTATGAAAAATTAGCAACTAAGAAGTAGACAATCCCTGTGTTTCGTCTTTACTGTTAAGAGCTAAACATTTTGAGCTGACGTTTTAACGAAATTTACCATTTTGAATATGTGTTCGCATCTAACCTAAACATGTTTTGGCGTCACATATGTGAGGAAAAATACGTTCAAATAAACTCAAAATCACCCCCATTTCAATCAAAAATTCTTTCTGGTCGAATAAAGAACAGAATAACCTGGAAGACCTTCGCGTACCATAGGTTGGGAATCACTTTCATCAAATAATGAAATTAGAGCTCTGGATATATTGCGTGTTTGCCGATATCAGTCATACTCTGCAAGCGATGCGTGCTTGCTTCTCAACGCTCTTTAAAACGCTTCTCAAATTGTTGACAGGCATAAGGTTTTTCTCCAGTGTGAGATCGTTCATGAGTTTTTAGATGGGATAATCGTAAAAAACACTTCCCACATAGTTTACAATTATAGGATTTCTCTTCGGTATGACTTTCATGTGCCTGTCTACATTCTGCTTCACTTTGAAGCTCTTTCCACATCGCTGACAGATATATGGTTTACCTCTATTGTTGGTTTGTAAATTAGATCCTGATATGATGTTGGTATGAACAAGTGACTGGGTTTGTAATTTCACATCCAGTTTAGTGGTTGTGTTGATTTGCTCACAATTAGGCAGTATTTCAATTTTATCAGCCGGGCCTCTCTCTCTGCATTCTTCAGCACCACTTTGTAATGAAGTTTTACCACAATTCTCCTCAGAGTCGACATTTTTATTCAAATCTACATCATTGATATAATTTTCCATACTGCGGATATATAAAATTACAAGAAAATTTTTGCATTTCGTGACTCTTACCATCGTCATAAAATATAATAAAAAACTTAAATATACATTTCACATTATAGAGTTGAAGAATTTCTTGTCTTTCTATTTGATACGCAAGTGAATTTCATTTAGGGGAAGAGCAATTAGTTGTAGGCACTGTGTAGTAATCAGTTATAGTAAACATAAGTACTATAAGCACACAGAGCTGTGAGGCACTTCCGCATTTTTTAGAGACTGCAAAATTGCAGTTTCTTTTTTTTAAGTTGATAAATAGATCTTCTGATTTTTATATGTTAAGGAACAGAAGCTTTCAAAGCGAATTAATCCATCTTGTATTATGGCATTAATAGATATGACATGATCCGTGCATAGTAAAACAGAGGCAATCCTGTGTTGTAAAATAGAATTTAGGTTACTTAAAAAGACAATGAAATATAGTTTTTTCCAATTCTGTTTCGAACTTGTGAGCACAAACAATAAAATCACAACACTACTGTGCTCAAACTTGGTCATTACACCCTGCGTAAATAATGCTGGGGTTAGGGCTGCCTGCATTGTTTCCCTTGGGTGACCTAGACTGGCGGGCCATGTAAGTGTGACGTATGAAGTTAAATTTTATGAACACTATTCACAGTGTTACAAAAGCAAAAGTGGAAAACAACGAGCTCATGCTGAAAGTAAATCGCAATCTCAACAAATTCCTATGGCTATCCTTACCTGAAATATCAGAATTTAGTTACCTTGGTAATGCATTGGGCGGGCCAGATGGAATTACCAAACGGGCCGTGTCAGATCTAGCCTGACCTTTGCAGCAGCAAACATTTTTTTTATTCAAATCAATCCTACACAGAAAAACTAACCGTTGGCACTGAAATAAAATTTATTTAAATTACTATTCACAACAAAACTTAAGAATATTATTATATCCAGGTGTTAATAATGGTTATGGCGAAATCAACCATGGTAAAAAAAAATCAAATATATACCAAATGACGAAACCAAAATGGGTATAAAACACGATGAACTACTCTCTAAGTGCGGCAGCAATGTAAATATAATATGTATAATACACAAACAGTATAGTAGCCTTTCAAGCTTGAGATAGTACAATCATATACATGAAAACCTGGTTTTCCCCATTGGGTTGTTATAATATGTTTATAACAACCCTTTTTGTGCGAAACCCTCCCAAATACATTCATATACATCTTGTTTTCTCTATTTTAGTGTGAATCATTAAATTGGTCTGTCTTGACAATAACTTTTACTACATGACCCACAAACTTGCAATTTCTCATCTGTGAGATTTTATGTTGAATTACTCAATAAAACCCTTGCCACATTCGTTACAAACATGATATGTCTTTTCGGTAGGAGTTCGCTCATGCCTAAGTAAATTAAAAAAATCAACTGCCAAATCGTTTACAAATACGATTTTCTCATGTATGAGTTTGCTTATGCCTATGTAAACTGTATGAGTAAGAAAATCTCTTGCCACATTGCTTACAGGCATAAGGTTTTTCATTGGAATGAGTTGAGCCCATGTAAACATGATAATCGCATAAAACACTTTCCGCATTGTTTACAAAAATAAAGGGTCTCTCCGGTTTGAGTTCGCTCATGCACATGTAAACTAGACGAATACGAAAAAACCTTCCCACATTCTTTACAAACATAAGGTTTCATTCCAGTATGACTTCGCGCATGTGCATATAAATTAGATAATTGTGAGAAACCCTTACCACATAGTTCCCAAACACAAGGTTTCTCTCCAGTGTGAGTTCGCTCATGCACTTGTAAATTAGATAATCGTGAAAAACACTTTCCACATTGTTTACAAACGTATGGTTTTTTTCCAGTATGAGTTTGCTTATGCACTTTTAAATTAAATGGTTGTGAAAAACACTTCTCACCAGTGTTCACTATTAGCGCACTTTTTTGCAAAAAATAACTTTTTTTAGGGACTGCGAAATAGCACTTTTTTCGATTTTAAAGGGCAAAAATTCAAAGTTGACAAATATTTTCGAGCGAGTATAAAGTTGACAAATAAGTTGCGTACTAGTACCTTTTCAACACAATTAACGGCAAAATTCTTGTATATAATATGATTATTGTACAAGCACACAGATTCCGCGTCTCCGCAAAAACGCTCGGCAGCGCCTTTGAAACCAGATGTTGGAATACTAGGCAGTGCGTTTAGGGGGCGAAACGCCAATTGTAATTACTAACCAGTAATGATGAACAGAGAAACGCAGCAGAGTTTTACATTCCATGCACAAATAACCGATGCTGTATGTGAGATTTGTGCACATGAAAACACATATCTGAGAATGCGAATCGTACTTCTCTTTCAACATTAATTCCCAGGATTTTGGCGTTTCATCAGGTCGAATAAAAATTATTTATCGAATGGATTGATATTTCGCGAAACACTCCAAATTATTTGGGAACCATCATATCATTCGTTAATTTTTTATATCCTCGTTGTATTCCGTGTACCTTCGCAAAAGAAAACTCTTTGGTGTCATCTATTAGTGTAATTGAGATATATGGAAACGTCGCAAGTGAAATTGGAATGCGAATATTTCATACTAGGTCTGCAGCATTACAGAGAGTGATATTTATGAATGCTGAACTTACATGGCATTTCTGTGTTCAAACATTCAAATTATACAATCTGTAACTAATATGGATTCCAGCTTGCATGTACCAATCGTTGTCTGTTAGATTGAAGGAGTAACACAAATGCGAAAGCCTTTGCTGTTCACGCGAGTTAGCAACTGACACGGGAGATAGATTGCGTGAAAGTTTTGTGCGCGACAGGTGTTAGCAGGTGTCCTTTCTTTACCCATGAGTTCCCTTGTTTTGAACAAGAATTTAAACAAAATTTTGTTAGCGGAAATGCTCCTCATTAATTCATAATATTAACGAAAGGAGCGCTTTTTCGAGTATCTATGCTGTTTTAAATGAGTGAAAACAAAAGCTCGTGCACATAACTTGTTGAAATCGGCATAAGCACTTTCGCACTCATAATTCGCTTAAGAGTTAACACTGCTTTCCACATTGTTTACATATATAATGTAAACAATGTTTTTCACCAGTATGATTTCTCATATGCACGTTCAAATGCAACTTTGATTTTTCCGGCATTGTTGGCAAACAAATGGTTCATTTCTGCTGTTGGTTTGTAAATTTGCACCGGAATTATGTGATTTCGCAGTTTCAGCTTTATCACTCAAACCACTTTCTTGACATTTCTCTTCGTCACCTCTTCGTAAAGAAGTTTTACTGGTTTCAACATTATTTTTCGTAACGCTTCTCAGGGTTGACAGGCAGACCAGTTTCCACTATGTTGTTAGTTGCATGTCCGTTTAAATCTCCAGTTCCATAGGAATTTTTATCGTGAATGTGCAAAAACATATGCTTTTCCAAACTGGGCCCTGATAGAAAGTTTTCATAACAGATAAGCAGGGTTGCCAGACCCCAGCAATAAAAAAAAACACATCGAGACATAAAAAAAGCCAGAGAAAGCCAACAATTTTACCAAGTACAAAAGCCCCATGATTTGTCAGATTTAAGCGCTTGGCAACGTACTGATGATGATGTAGAGCCATCAGTTCATTCGGTGAGGCACACAAATAGAAAGTAAAGTTCCTATAGAACTGTAGAAAGTAAAATAAATATCAAGCGGACAGCATCATTTTACCACTCAATATATACAATACAGGGTGCCGCCTCCGTCCGTCAGTATGTAATATACCTACATGTTTCTACCTAAATTTGTGATATACCTATATACCTTAAAAAATTCTCCCTATATCAGTATATCGTGCTTTATTATTGAAAATTTTTTCACTTTTAAAATTTTTAAACCATCAATTTTATTAAAAAATTATCTAAACCCCCGCCGCTCACAGGTGGACCACTGATATCTAATTCAGTAATTTTAGCGTAGTTAATCACATCGTTACTGCAATTGCAGAATTAAACTGAAGCTCACATAAACCATATCAGGCATAATGAAAATTAAGTTATACAACTATTTTTTGGAAACAGAATGTAAAACTGACAAATACCGGCAAAACTATAAAGTACGTTGTTACACACTATATATTGTATTTTATATGATTTTAATAATAGACACTAGAATAGACTTGAAAAAAGCCAAAAAAACACCAAAATGCCAAACGGAAATTCTGACGCCAAACGCGTTTGAAAAAAGCCAAAATTGGCAAATTTGGCGTTAAAAAAGCCAATATGGTAACCCTGCTACTAACTGGCTGCCAAAGAAACAGTTACAGAATTTTTCTATTTAAATTAATCCTATGCGGAAAAATTACATGTGGCATAAAATTAACAAAATGGGTCACCAAGTCTTGACTTACTTGCGTATTTGTTTTGTAATGAATATTTGGCAGTATTTGAAAAAAAATCATACATCTGTCATTGCTTGATTTTCTTGTTCCACCCATAACAATGTTTAGTCAGCCATAACCTAACGTTAATCTAAAAGTGGTATTTGAACCGTCGCGCAAACATTTCAAAAATAACTTTATTCGGCTGTATCATAGCGTATGTTTCTCACCAGGTATATTTATATGGAGGATGAATGAAGTGCCACAGATGTAATAAAAACGATGTAATTTGCCGACGTTTCGAATTTATATACATACTTCCTCAGAGCATGATATGCAAATGACAATGGACCTTTCCCCGACATCAAAACATCCGTATTCTCAACCAATCACAAGCGAGCAGATGTAAACAAACATTCTCCGCTGAAAAGTCGCTCAGACAACTTTGGAGGCGCAGTTCTTACCACTTCATGGCAGCTCCTGCCACGAACGTACCACGCCGTCTCCTGCCATGGTTTTATGGCGCTATTACCGGTATATTTACAAATTCATGTACCATATTTTAGTTTATCATGCGAAATTATATCTACTTAAACCCTAACCCTAACCCCAAATCCATCCAAACTGTATCCATAAGAAAAACATTCCAACTCACCAAATATTTATCACCATCAGCAGATTAGGGGCAGCCCTGCTATTACAGCCGACCTGCCGTGGTTACGGCAGTAAAATTGGTGGTATTCGATTTGCTGCCGTAACCACGGCAGCTCGCTATTGGTTTGTGGCAGCTAAAAAGTCAGTCGCCGTGGGTTTGGTCTTAGTGGCCGTGGTTTGGAAATCCCGCCATGGTTTTGCGGCAGCTGTAGACGCCACAAAATACTTGAAACTGCACTTGCAACTTTGGACGCGTTCCGCGCAGGTTGCTGGCGATTTAGGCAGATCTTTGTCCCTCTTTTTCGCCCTTTGTTTTCTTCACAGGGCTGCGAGAATTAGAAAGCGGTAATACTGTATGTTACTTGTTGCAAATCACGTTCACGCAATCTATACTAAAAGGATGTACCCGTTGCAGGCACCTTACAGTTAAGGTACCGTACAGGTTAACCAACTGCTATTTCGAACCAAAAAATAGTAGACAGTCATACCGGTACTGATGCAATCAAGGGTACCGGTAGCCTACCGTATGTCAGTACGGAAGAATTCGCCTTCGATACAATGTTGCATTTTTATTAAACAGAATCTATTAGTGAATTATTTTCGTAGACTTGCCTAACTATGTTTAAACGGTCCGCATATGGTATTTGTCGGTCTGACAACCTGTACGGTACCCCTGCCGTTCAAATGGAGTAAGATTTGTGCCTTTTCCGAAGCCACATATTGACCACCAAAAGCAATGAGGTGGATAAAGGAATGCAACAGGCCTCACAGTCGATTCAACCTAGGAAAAATCACCAGAAATACCTACCGGTACGTGTGTACCAAGGTAGGCCAACATAAATAGTTTTCAATACCTATGACATATTCAATATGTTAATTTTTATATGAAATAAATTTTAATACAAGCAATGCGTTCCATCATGCATTTTCATGGAGGCGATGGACCAACTGATGAATACCCTGACCCTATATCAGATTCTTGTCGCCCAAAGCACCATCAAATAGTGAGCTAAGGATTACTTATACCATAATTTAACTTTGGATCATAATTTAACAGGATCTGTCACCAGATACTTCATTTGATACAGAGACATGCGAATCTGACGAAAGTGAGAAAGGATTGTCAGGGATCCAACCAGATCTGCCCCCAGACTCTTTAGTTGAAACTACCTCAAGTGCCGCTAATGAAAATGACAGTGCTTTGTCAGACAGCAGAAAAATGTAAGCAAGCATCATCATCATTTTATTTTGGTTCTCTGTCATAAAACAACACAAAAAGTCAACATACAAACAAAATGCCGGGAAAATTGGAAGTCGAGCATAACTTAAAATAGATTTCAAAAAGTAGGCGGCTACCTACAAGAAAACGAAATAATAATAATAAAAGGGCACGAAAGAATTAACAAGATTCAGAATCAGGCAACACTTAACATAATTCAAAATGAGAAAACACACTTCTTCCAGCATTGGTGTCATATTTGCTAACTGTAAAAATGATG